ATTTTCCAAAATCTAAATAATCTCTCTGAAAATCTGACTCTTTTTTTATGAGATATGTAGGCCTATCATTTCAAATTGGTTTCTATGAGATATATATTTTTAAGTTTGTTTTCATCATAAAAACGAACTTGGACGTTTACAAGTATATTTCTCTTCCTAAAAATATATATTCACCATGGCACTAGTGGGATTTCGTAAGAACAAACGAAAGAAGCAACTCTCAAACCCTTTACCGCACTGCCCCTTTTCACGAGTGGTTAATCAAAAGTTGCGTTTCAAAACAAGGTAACATAACAACCACCCTTCTACATGGCCAAAAGTTCTCTTTATTTATTCCCAAGGATCGTAACAGTTCACATGATAATATGAGGCTGTTCAAAGTTTGAACACAGGAAACTAATCGACTCGATCTGACAGGCGCTGCCTTTGGGAGAGGGCTTTTGATCGGGCCCAGTTTGGACGCACATCCAGCCCGTCGCGTTACTAGTCTAAAGACTCAGTGTAATCCATTCCAAATAAAATTTTAAAAAAGAAAGACAAATTCACATAACCGTGGGAAGTGATATATGGCTCAAAGATACCAACAACCTATGGAGTAGGATAAGGAAATGAATTGCTAATTAATGTTACTGCATGTGACAATCCAGAACAAATACCGGCATATCAGTGAAATGAAAAAGAAAATGCCAATTCTTGGGTCTCAAGAGTAACGGGTGGCAGAGTGGATTTTCCCCAAAAATGGCTGTCCTGTTTTGTTTTAACCAGTTAAACTAATAAGAATCCTCAACCTTCCTTAATGAAACAGAGAGATGGCAGTACCGTTTCGTGCATGCTGACACTTTTCAATCCTAACAAAAGGTCTGAATGGGGATGCATCACTGACCTTTCAATGCAATCCAGTCTTTTCTCTAAATTCAACCCGGCACAGCACGCCTCTTTTATGCATTGTTTCAACAATAACCAAAAGAATTATCTAAGCATTCACAATAAGAATGCCGTTAAACCTCACGTGTACCTGTCGAGCTCATTATCCAAAACTTGAAAACGAGCAGACCATCGAAAAAAGCAAACAAACAAGTAAACAGACACGGTAGAAATGTGTGCTGCGTGCGATCTCCATTGTAACTTTACGGTGAAATAACGGCCAATTGAATACACCAATTACAACGTTGATCTGTAAAACCCATTAAGCCCTCATTCATCAAGACACACGGCAAAGGAAGTCCTTCAGAGTTGGCAATGTTTTTTTGATGATGCGGTTGGCATCGGAGTAGCACCCAGCCCGGGAAGAGCAACTGGTGAGCCGTTCGGCTGACAATCATGTAATTTCCCCGGGGAGATTTTTGGCTTCACGCTGTGCGAGCACGGGCATGGTGAGCTGCTGATTGCAAGTAAAACGCGAAGAAACGAATGTTTAGAGCCGAGAATCGACTTCGTTTGTCAAGATGAAACAGCTGTACATTTGTTTGGTTTCCCCCTTTTTCCGTCAAACGCCTTTTTGAGGTATTAATCAGTCTATTGGCGATGAATTAGATAAGGGGCGGTGGATCAGTTGGTTATGGCGACTGAGGCCGTAATTTCATGAAGATATACACTACCCAGAGGAGACTGAGTTAAGCGTTTAGGACTGACGTGAACTCGTCAGGCTAAAATGGATTAGTGGGAAGTCCCCCCCCCCTCGATTCAGCGGTGAAACAGGATCATTTAGCCCTGGGGAAGCACGAATGCCCGAAATGATATAAATTAATGGGATTGTTTGCGTATCGGAAACAGTCAGAGTTAATTTCCGTTCAGAAACTCGCACTTAAATGAACTGGACGCTTTACTGAATGCCATAGTGGGAACCCCTGAGCAACCTCCTTCCCCCACTTTCCTCCCTCTTCTGTAGCGCCTACGAGAGACCTCGTGTTTATATGCCCATTGCCTCCGGTCACAGAGAAGCTGCGTGCGTACCGCGTGGGATGATGTTTGCAGCATGGTTGGCGCCTATCCAACCCAACAGTCCGGCAATGGCATTCACAGGATGGATTGTGAAACAAGTGAAGCATAGCTCTCTGTATACAAAGTGCCCGCTGATGCAAGCGATGAAGCAGCCACATTAATAATCGAAAACAAAAAACATTAATTTTTCAGAAGCAGGAAACAGAATAATTTTGGGTCCACCTTAAGGTTTTTGTTACAATTAAATTATCGCCGAATTCCCTTTTTAATAAAAAAATTAAAATGTGAAATTGATTGCAGTTGAAGATCATCATACGATCGTCTAGAAACAAATGGTGACATTTTCGAGCTCATGATTGGGAAATTCTAGTATTAGAATGTACGTTTATGTTGCTTACCAGCGAAGAATATTCAGATTCGCACAAGCCTTTTTTTGTCAAATAAATTCATCAATGTGCGAACTTACTTTGGCGTAGTGGCATCTGAATTTGTAGACAATTGGCTGTTTATTTCCTCACTTTTTAGTCAACCATCAAGGCAGAGTGAATATTTTTCTCATTAGGTAATGATGACTGTATCTCACGTCACTTGTACTAGCTAAGCGGAAGAATCCTATTTACTCTCTGAAACGCACTTTATCCTTGAGTAGCAAAACAGCAAGTGGCCATTAATAATGTGGGTCTTCATAATCCGGTTCCCAGAACGATCATAAAAATGGTTCCCACAACTTGTTGCCAAGCAAACTAACGCCATCTCTCAATCCTGAACGGAATAGACTATGGCGTAAAGCTGCACCAGAAATTGCGAGGGCTAGGGGATAGGGAAAGGTGGGAGATGACTTGTCTGGCAGTGAAAATTTGAAAGGGGGGTTGACACTGTTATGACTCCATAGAGAGGTCGATGTTCATGATGTAACGTACATCTCTCATATGTATTCAGAAGGGCATATTTATGGCTTTCTTCCCCTTGTTTGAATGACATTTAACGCATTTTAGTCGATGGAAGTCGGAAAAATTCTTTCATGTGTGTGGAATAGCCCATCAATAGCCCATCCCCTATCGCAAAAAGTAGGGGGGTATATACCCCACCCCCGGATGTACGCCCATGGGAATGGATATCAAGAACGACCAAAAGATGTATTGCCAAGAAATATCTGCGATATCCGGATGTCAGCAAATGACCCAACGACCAGGAGATACCACAGGGTCACAGAGCGGATTATCTGGTCTTTAAGCCAAATAAAAATAAATGCACCCGGAAATAAAACAGGACACGGACGACGGGCCTGTTACGATGACTAGCAAGTGGCAACCGTGCAAACTGAGGGGACATCAAATATGTGTATGCATAAAGCAGGACTGATAATTCTTTTACCTGTAGCAGAAATCTGATAAGTTACATTAAGACTTATAAAAGTCACTACTGAAACAAATGAGTGCTTAAGAAGAAAGCTTGAAACAATTTGAAAACGGAATCGGAAGAAAACGAAAGTACATTAAGGATAAGGTCTCTGGTTTCATTGTTAATTTCTGGAATTTCACCATATACGTAATTATTTTTGCATACGCTATGTGCCAAACCAATTGCACTTAAACCGTAAGTTAGGATTAAACGTATAGAGAGTCATCTACCGTAAATTCCTGACGAGCTAAACGGAACCGCAGTCGGTGACTAGTGATGATTGACGCAATTTTAAATTTGGATGTGTTGGCAAACACAAAATACCTGTCACGGGTAAGCCATTTTTTATCTTGTCTCCCGAATCCACCATTGTAATTTTAAATGGGGTGGTGCCAGACTATTGGGTTTCTAGCCTCACTTTAATATAAACCCCCCCCCAAAAAAAACCAAAAAAACAAACCAAAAAACAACAAAAACCCAGGACTTATAACTTTTAGATAAAATTTTGCACAAATGCTAAGTTATTCCGTAAACTGAAATAAGTTCACGATGAACTTATGTTTCGTGGCTGTTATTCTCGGGTTCACGTTCAATGCCAGGTGGTCGACACATGAATAAAATCTTGTTATTGTCTGTTCCTGAAATTGAACAGAACAGCCTGCAATGAATAAAAATTGCAGAAAGTACAATGACACAATGATCGCTTCTAATTTTCACCTGATGACGACAACAGCTTTCAGACAGTTTCCTGTTTATACATGTATATGAAAACGCCATTGGTTTTACCAAGAAGGACTGCTTAGACATAACCACCCCCCCTCAATTCAAGAATCCAAAATAGAGCCAAAGTTTTAGGATCTCATCTTGAAAAAGGCTTCTTCCCTACATTGTCACTATCATCCTCACACTCACAAAATCACAACCCTGAAATCGCATCACAAGATGTAAATATTGTGCAATGCTATAGGACAAAGGCTCCTGATTTAGGCATATACAGTATGTACCTACCTTTTTGTCCGCGGAGACCAGACTCTGTTGCCCCACTAAGAAAAACAGTGCGGCCGCGCATGAAGGAATGAGGGGTACAAGTGATGAAATCTCCAATTATACCCAAATGAGGGCGCTAGTTTGAATGGTTGTTTATGGATGCCTTTAGTATTGTATGTATTTGACTTATATTTACTTTCCTAAGCGCCAAATATCTAACATGCTACTTGACGCAATTTCTTCCACAAAGGTGTGTCTTCAGTTTGTTCATGCAGTGCTTTAGCTAAATATTGTCGAACAGTAGTTTTGCATTATCAATGACTCAGATCTGATGCCCGCATGCAAACTTGAGTGTTTGTCCCTTACCATGCACGCAAATTGTAAAGGTATTAAACCTCTGACATCGACAGCATGTGATTGTCGCGAGCTAGGAGCAAAATTTACACTGGCCTTTCACAAGTGATTACAAAGGGAATATAATCAGGAAGATATCCAGATCACTTTCTAAATATACCACAAATTACACAACACTTTATTGACCGAATAAGTTCTCCAGAGATAAGTAGCGTAGTTTTAGCTACTTAAGGCCGAGACCACTGTTGTTGTTTCAACATCCGAACAGCAAAGCTCGTAGACTTCTTGCAACGAAATCGTACCTCAAGAAGTTTGAAATGGCTGCCAAGTCCACTTTGTACGTGACCTTGCTGCTTTCTTGTGTGGTACCTTTCGGCCAATCTCTGCTGTTTGGTGCATTTAACATACAGGTCCTTGGAAAGACCAAGATGGGGAAGCCGGAGGTTGTCGATTATCTTACCGAGGTAAACTACGACGTTTGAATTGTAGTTTGTGTTTTGTTTTTGTTTTGTTTTTGTTGTTTTTGTTGTTGTTGTTGTTGTTGTTGTTGTTTTGCTTGCTCCATTAAGGATATTTTATACTTGACGCGAAAGCAAAGACGAACGCGAATTCATGAGGGCAGATCAACATAATTCGCGCTGCGAATTCGCAACTTGAATACATTTCAACTCGAGCGAAACTTCGCTGCAAATCTTTCGTGACGTAAGATTCGCTTCACTATCGCATTCGCGTGAAGTATGAACCCACCTTTAGAAGGAAGTTTCAATGAGATTTGAAAATGTGCATGGCAGTGTTGCCGTCCATTGCATTTCTAATCCTTTTGTAAGTCCCTTCACAAGTCTTTTCACCACACCATGTCATATTTCATGGGGGAACAATGGCAAAGGAATATAATCATCGGTATTCTTCCCGTGGGGGGGGACTCCGGTGGAAGTTGTTAATTCTGAGTTCTGACTTGGTTGTTCTCCCTCCCATGTTTTGTTTCTCTCTCGTTCTTTGTTTAGTGTTTGATTCGAATATTATAACGTGCCTTAAAATGTAGATGTACACCAGCAAATTATTGAAATACCAACTGGAAGTCATAAAACGGCAAACTGCGAGAAATCCCTCGAGAAATTAGTTGAGGCTTTCCCAACCTCGGGCGCGAAGCCTCTGAATTTTGTCGCCCTGAGATGAGGCCTTTCGGCTGAGGGTATATAGTTTTATAATCCGGTGATGTATACTCGGGAGCTTTGGCTGTCGAAATTGTTAATTCTCATTTGGTTCTAGCAGTAAAAATTTGGAAATGGTTTCTTAGACCCTGAATTGACTTGGAAAACAACTTGATATGATTTCACACAAAATCTTTTGGGGTAGATCCTGGCTCGCTACGACGTCGTCCTCATCCAGGAATTACGGGATGCGTCCGGGGAAGCAATTGTCGACCTTCTGAACGCCCTCAACGAGTAAGATGAATAATGTCTATAGAATAAGTCTTATTTCTAGGTATCCAACTTCGCTCGTGAGTATCAAGACTGTAGCGACCATTATACCCGTGCGTAATTGTACAGCTGCATGTGTGGCATGCATTTGTTTGTAATTGGTGCATAGCACGAGCTGGCGTATTAGGCGTGAAGCTGAAAGGGTCAAGATATTGAGGTACGAATGGGCGAGTGGAATATACCGAACTGTCAGCTCCACTTCGTGTGAGAGTCGAAAAAGCCAATTTCTACAAGAGTTAACCATGACAACCAGAGCAAAAAAACGCTCGTAACAGCTTTCCTGTGGTTGATCTTTTGACGCATGTACTGGTGTATGGGGGTGGGAAAAGCAGGCTTTTTATGATACAACCAGGCAAGGGCGAATTTGGGGGACTTTCCTTCTCCAAGTATATAAACCCCAAACTGTTGCCTCACACAGGTGTCAGAAAGCAACTGTTAGCACTTGGCACCTGTGCCTCTCGCCGACAATATCATTGTTCTATCCTTCTTGCAGTTCAGTTGTGAAAATAAACAATAGGGTTGTGTCATACGTATCCAGAAAAAGAAAAAGATGAATGCATTTTATTATTCAAAATGTTGACTTTATATCTGTATAATCATTTTCAAAATCTTGGTTCACCTATGAAAAGTCGTTAACGTCCACGTAATGTGTCACCGCCAGTGTACGTGGCTACACGGTGCTTGTACATGTACAGTATAATCGTACTATATATCTACTGCACCATGTATAACCGTACTGCACTTGGATGTTAAGCTTAGGAGTCAGCCCAGAGCAGAGGCGTAGCCGAACGGGTTAGACAGGAGGGACAGCCTCATGGAAAATCTTGCCCCCTTGATGCCGGCTACACCACTGGCCTAAAGGAACAGAGCGGCAAAATGCTGCATGGAAACGTCTATGAAATCAATATATAAAGACGGAGTGAAACAATATGAGAGAGATCGTGACTAGAATACCAGGATATAGGGTACATGAATTTCTACAAGAAGGTTGTGGGACGAATTGATTTTTAAAAAGCCCAGTAATAAGATTTGTTTTGAAAGCAGTATAGAGGCCTTTGTGTCCTACTCAATATTCATTAACGACGTCACCTTTGTGGAAATTTTGATGCTTTTTGATGACTTCAGGAGGACTGACAGTTTATATTTTCTGCAGTAAAGAATTGCCATAATAGTGGACCGTTATGTGTCACAGTTTAAGCCATTGAGCAAATTTCCTTTCAGAATTGTTGTTTTCAATTTTCATATTTGGAGTTGTCAATTTTTATAAAACCTCCAAACTTAATGAACTGTGTATCTTGTGATCAAATCACAGCATCAACACCCTAGGTATCAAGAAAATACTGGCAATTTTAATATTTAAATCAATCCACTTTTCAAAACTTAACAAAAACTCAAGCAATAAAGTTTTCAATAAAGAAAACTAGGAAAGTTGCCAGGTGAGATTTACTACTAGGCTTATAAACTAAAAGCTTTTTGACATTCCTTCGTTCTAAATTTTTATTTTATTATTAATACCACACACACAATTTTCCCTGCCACTCCATTTCAGAGTCAAATGGACCAAATCGCGTGCCAGAGTTCGTCAGGTGACAATGTCTCACGGTTTGGTTTTATCTGCACAATTTCGATTGTCTCCCAGATTATTTCTTTAATCCAAAGCTGAAGTACGATTTTTTATCTTCTTTAGCATGGCCAGTGAAGATAGGTTTGGACTGATTACGTCATACTGTTGATTGACAGAAATAATATTGACAGATCTGTTTGCAAGCATATCAGGCACTCTAAACTCGCCTGACAAGGAAACACGTCATAATTCCTAAGCCGTGTTGGAAAGAAAAACGTGTCTTTAGAAAGTATATTAGTTTTGTTTTATCCTTAAAATTTTTTTATTTGTGCATTTTAGCTGAGGAGCGCCTCGAGTAGTCATTGCCAAGAATTATAATCACGAAACATTTTGACGGATTATTCTCATTATATCAGTTTCTTACAGCGCACTGTTTACGTTGTCTTTTGTAAAAAACAAAAATGACCATTTTTTATTGGTCATGGTGTTAAATGTTATCAATGACGTTCATGTATATTTTTTGCTTGTTTATTCCAGCTACTCCCCACATACATATGAAATGATCATTAGCTCCCGTATGGGTCGTTCCTCTTCCAAGGAGCAGTATGTCTTCTTCTACAAGTAAGAGGGCTCATAATGGATTGTTGTTCTGATTTCTTATTACACATTTGTCTAGAGGTATGTGTGTCCTTTAGTCTAATTCTCATTTTGACCTCATCAAATTTGCTGGCTGATGTAAGTACATGTAGTTTGGGTGATTCGCAAGCTCGGCATTATGCGTTGTGAGGGTGCGATCAGAGGACCTCGGCCGTCCTCATTAGCTGACGTGAAGCGGCCAAATGAAACTGTACAAGGCCTGTCTTGGATTGTTTGACTGTAATGAACCGATGCAAATTACAAACTCAGTCACACTACCTACTCATGGTTGATTTAGTCTTCACTGTGAACAATCGGCGTCTGAGTCCCACTGTTGTACTTCGTATCCCTTTGTATTCTCTTACAGACCTAGCGAAGTGTCTGTAGTTGATACCTACGAATACCCAGAGCCTAATGATGAATTCGAGAGACAACCGCTAATCGCTCGATTTAAGAAAGTATGCCCATGCCCTGGTGAGTTGTGAACAAGTTTAATGCGGGTAAAGATTTTCAAATAGCTTGAAAATTTCCAGAGTTGTGTTTCTTTGTTTTTTGCCGTACAAACCGTCGTGCTGCTCGCCACTGTAAATGGCTCTAATGCAAGGATGAAAGACAAAGCACCCGTTTTATCTTTTTTGCCTGTTTAGTTTTTCTGTCACATAATTTTGTGGTCCATTTCTGGTAGGTCTGTCGGAATTTGCTGTGGTTGGTATCCACGTTAAGCCTGATGACGCAGTAGCCGAAGTGGACCACCTCAGTGAGGTGTATGATCACGTGGTTAACACGTGGGGGTTACAGGTTGGTACACATACAATCTGAAAGTCTTCCGATCTGTTGACACTCTTGACTTAGAAAGTACAGTAAATTTAACCATTTGCTTTGCAGTGGAGTAGGTTGGTTTAGTACAAAGAAAAAATGAATGGACATCTTCATTGGCTTCATTCAGTAACAAATTATTAAAACTAAAGTTTTAAAGCAACGGAAAGTTTTCTGTTTTGGTTATGTATTGCATTTTTGGTCATGTCTTAACAATGGGCAAAATTGGAGGATTAACAAAGTTTTCCCTTTTTGCGTGTTCTGTCTACTGGTGTTCCTTTTCCAATGACATTTGCGCCCACTTTTTAACCGTAATTGGGAATTTACCCTCGTAGGACGTCATACTGACGGGCGACTTCAATGCTGACTGCAACTACATCAGTAGCTCCAAGTGGTCTAGAATTCGTCTGCGTACTCAGTCCCGCTTCGAGTGGCTGATCTCCGACTATGCAGACACCACTGTATCTAACACCAACTGTGCATACGACAGGTCAGACCCGAACTGAGACTCTGTTACTCACGTGCCCCGCGTACATGGCAGCCAATTTGGAAAATCGGTCAAACAAGAAAGGCTAGGGCTAATCAAGGTAAACGCGCACCGGTTGGCCGCAGTCTTTGGGTGAACGTTTGCTAGCATATCACAGAATCGCACCGTAGACGTTTTTCTGCACGAACATCCTTTCCCAAGACTCGGCTCACTTGTTTTGCTACTGAATTCGTTTTTCTCAAACGCATCCTTAGCTTTGTCAAAGGTGGATCCAGGACTAACTCTGGAGGGGGCAAAATCTTTTTGCCTTTGGGGGTAGGGGATTGGAAAGGTTTTATTTAACTTTTATAGCCTTTCTGAAGGCTGAGGTTACGTTTTGTTGATTTTTGGTGACTGAAGAGGGGAAATAAATAGACCGAAAATATACTTTCTCTCATTATTTAAAAAAAAGCTCCTGGGGGGCACGATTCTTTTGGCTACCGATCCACCTTTGAGCTTTACTCACATACTCTGCAAAACCAGTGCATATTGTGAGTAAAAAAAAGATATTTTCTGTTTTCAAAACGTCATTGCCAAAAGGTTCCATTGACTTTTTCAATTTTCCTCAATTGAAATTAAGGAAAAATGAGCCCCTGTGGGTAAAGTATGTAGTGCACTGGTAACGCTGTCTGGTGGTGTCATAACGTTACAGTGGTTTACTGTAGACTCGGCTTCAAGTAGAATACTCTGCCACGATGCATAGTAGAAAGAATTGTTTGTGCTCACAAATTTGGATTTATTATACATAAAAGGAGAGCGCTGTGTGAAACAAAGATCTGTACTTTTCATGAATTTCAAAGGATTGTCGTTGCTGGATCTGGAATGAAAACCTACTCTCGGGCTGCAGCTACGTATTACTTCGATGCGGTATTCGGGCTGGATCAAACAACAGTGAGTACTTACTAACGACTTTTATTTGCCATTCGAACTCCGAAGCACCCAATTTGCTATAACTTGAACTGCAGAACTGCTCTCCTAAGATCATTATGATCTGCATAAAAAAACCCCGCAATAACCTTGTTCTCTAGTCGTCTATATCAGCTTGTCCCGGTGAAGGTTTCTAAAAAATTAATTGTCCCCTAAGTGTCCAGTTGAAAAAGGGCATTTCTAAACACCTTCAGTTTTATTTCTGAAGCATTAAATCTACTTTGTTTTTTTTTAATAGGCCAAGACGGTAAGCGACCACTATCCTGTGGAGGTGGTCATCGAGTAGTCATCGCTACCTGGGAATAAAAACTGGCAAAAAGAATTTCACACGGGGTACAGAAAAAGTAAAGACTCATAATTATAACTCCAAGAAAGAAATAATACCCTCTTCATCATGAATGGTTTGCCAGTCTATCTGTCACATTCTTTGAGTGCCCTCGCTCCAGAACTACAGGCCCAATCCTTGCGACATCCCTTCTTAGTTCGGACCGTAAGGGCACAAGGTTGTTCCTTGTTCGACTAGTATGCGACACCAAACTTACACAACGTCTTACGTATCTAAGTAGAAAAAGGTGCAAATCCAGGCGAGAATCATAACAGCACAAGGACACATTCGAAGGAGGAATTCGAGTGATATAATGCGGTGATTCGTTTATATCAAACCGATGTATTCCTCGGTAGCTCATACATGACTGGAATAGTTTTTGAATTTAAAAAATAATGATGTTTAGCGGCCGTCTGACTAGCAGCTGTGCTAGGTTAAGTGCGTTATGCTTTAATTGCTCAAATTCACGAGATAAATCAGCATTGAGAAATTCCTGGTGGATAATACAAATTAATTATCTCATATATAAATTCTTCAGCTTGTGATAGTGTACGTCAATTATTAAATAACCTCCCGTGGACGTCTTGTCAATCAAACTCTTTTCAGTGTTATCTTCAGGCTGGCCCGAACTTGCAAAATAATACAAAAATTTAACAAATGAACATAATAATGATAAATAGCGAGATCATTTGCATAATGCTTAGGCCCTAAATGCATAATTACCAAGTATGTAAATGAACGTAATGAAACTCGCATACACAACTCATATAAACTGAAGATCACTGCAAACAATGTAAGATAATTCTGTCTCAGTTTTATGTGTGGTTTTTTAAAACTGCCAAGTCTCTGCGAGTTTCTCACCCCTTGTTAACGATAGGTCTCTGAGTGCATGATATACATTGCTTTGCAGTCTTATCGCTAAGTTCAGTAGCGATTTTGTGGAAAAGTCTTTCGAAACCTAACTTTGCGAGGAGTGTACTCCACTAGTATTCTTGTCACTCGCAATAAAAACAGGAAAGGTGAACAAGACGTGTTCATTCACTCGCCGCAAAGCTGTCGAAGCGACGGAGGGGACAATCAGTTACATTCGAATCAGTGGATAGACAGGAAGCGACCAGCGTACACGATGCGATTCCACGCCGTGTTTGGGCTGTGTTTCCTGGCGGTCATTTTGGTGGGCAGTGGTGCTGCTGTTGAAGTGGCCTCTTTCAACATCAAAAAACTTGGAGATAGCAAAATGAACAAACCACACGTGGTGGCGATTTTACACCAGGTAGGCCTAGGACCCTTAAAATGATTATGCAATTAGGATAAGCTAGGACTGGTCAATGTATCAGGGTAAGGAAAGTGTCCAAACGGCAACAATAAATAAGTGTTGACAAGCGTATGTCATAAGTATCAACTGCGCAAACGCAGCTCATGTGATCCTGCAGTTCTTGTCAGTAAAGCTTAGATTAAAATCTTTAGAATCTTTTGTAAACGCAAATTTTTCCTTGAAGTTTATTTCCTTATAATTTGTAAAGTGCTTGAAATACTTTAATATATTCTGACTAACTTTTACCGTAAGACTGAAATAGAACTCTGTAATTGTTTATCTTTGTACAAGAACACTGAATTGCACAGGTCTTCACGTACTTTAGATTTTCGGAACTTAGACGTCAGTATTTGGAAGGAGATTTCTCGAAGTTCAGTTTCCACAAATCAATATGCTAGCAAATATTTCACTTACTTGGCCTTTTTTTCTGAGGTGCTTTTTAGGGAGTAAAATGACGAAAAAATGCAAACTTTAAAACCTGTGCACGGTAATTTTTCCTATCCAGGGTTTTCGGCAGTGCGCCTTCAGGGGTCAACTTTCAGGCTTTATGAATTACGTCCATTTTGCCTTGAATGAACGTTTAAGACTGTATGGCCAAGGTCATGTTGTTAGTGCCAAAGCCTGGCATTCCGGGTTCATGCTCAGCCATGTTTGTAACAACTGCTTACTTAGTTTGTGCGCATGCGTACTGAATCCCTTGAGGTCAGTAGCCAGGAAAATGGCTTTTAGACTAAAGCAGGTTGACCCCCACGGTAATCCAATCAACATCACGCACAGATATCGATGCTTCCTCCTCATTTCCAGACCGATTAGAATTTAAAACCTCAAAGTCCCTTTTGCTAACTTGCACACTGTAAAAATCCATTCTCTGCCGAAATTCCCCCCTCCTTCTTATCACACACCTCCAAAGTAAGAAGAGTCAGAAGTAGGAAAGGTATCACCAACATTTTAGAGGGTATTTTTGTCAGTTTACAGGGTTTTCCCTGACATACAAGACTTCGGAATGGTGTGGATTTTTTTGAACGAACGGCGGAACGATTTCCAAAGTGATGGTGGCCATTTGTGTGACCATCAGTCATCAGCCATTAATAGGCCGGTCCATTAAAGCCACATTCCACTGCCAGTGTTGTGAACGCTCTAGGAAACCGTGTGAATTTGAACAGAAACTTTTAGTTTGTGCCTTTTCATTGGGCAGATCGACCGTGACGTCATTGTACGTATCAGAGCAACGCAGTAAAAGTCAACTCGTACTCAAATTCATGTCTGTGTGTACATGCATGCATGCCAAGCCCCAGATCCGGACATCTCATTTTTGACGGCTGTCGGACTCGGTGGGGAAATTTGAATCAACATTTCACACAAATGGCTCTCGATCTTGAAGAAATGAGCTGATAGATACAAAAGATTTATCAGTCTTCCGAACTATAGGCCTACAGTATTACGGTTAGTCTGACGCAATTCGACAAAACTGTGACCATTTGGCACTGAACAAGGTGAAAAATGACGAAAATGAGTCCCAATAAAAAACCGAGTGAATTTCAAAGCGAAGGTTTTCTTCCTAGAGGTAATTAACTTTCTGTTCGAAAGAGTTAATAGTCTTTCATATGGCATCAAGGTTACATTTAAAAAAATGTGAAACCCGACAAAATTGTGAAATTTGGTACAAAATTATGTTTTTAAAAAAGTGGCAATTCATTCACATACGAAGTCTTTAAAGGAAATGCAGTACAAATCCCTCACGTGGTACCAGATCACCACCGATATATACGCGTCGTCTGCGCATGCACGAATACACAAAGTAAGTGCACGCACAGTCCATGGAGACCAAACGCACGTGTGCAGCTTGACTAAGTTAAGCGCTAGCTATGTTAGCTTTACCAGAATTGAAAATTCAGAGAGAAACCTCTGAAACATTTATCTCTATGTGTATTGATTTCCGCCACACCTGCGGGTATTTTCGTAGGCCCTCAAACATTTTCGTAGCCCCTTGATCTTTTATAATGGCCTACTTAGTTTGCCCGTTGGTTAATCTAGCCACCGATACATTAAACAAACAAACAAACAAACAAACAAACACCCCAACAAACACCCCAACAAACAAACAAACAACCCAACAAACAAACAAACACCCCAACACCCCAACACACAACCCAACAAACAAAAACACAAGCAACAAACAAACACCTCAACAACCCAACAAACAACCCCAAACAACTTTAATTTAATGGGCCCTAATGTATAACATCTAAAATGTAAACGCATGTGATTTCCAAGCGTGACAACGCTTCTTTGGATTAGTAAGATTATGTTATGACATCTGCTCGCAGCTGCTTAATAATGGTACAGAACGGAACCCTCACACGGCTGATGTGATTACGGTGACACTTTGTTTTCCTTAAATGGGAGGTCTTCAAAAATGTTATCCCTGGCACACAATTGTCTTTACTAATTGCAGATTCTGAGTCGTTACGACCTTGTAATGATACAGGAGTTAACAGCATCAACACCCGACGCTATAACCACGCTACTGAATGGACTCAACGTGTGAGATATTTACCTCGTTATTTCAAATTCAAATCAAATCTATCCTGTGGAGGTTTTCGTTCTCCGTGGTAAAAGAGGGATTTTTGCTCGAGTAGGTTATTCAACTGTGAAACTTCACAGGAATTTGGCTGTTGCCTTTTGAAGTGCACAACGAATATTTTAGACGACACATTATCATGTTTGCTCTTGTGTCATGGTGCACCTTTAGATTAGGCCTAAGTATATTTCGGGAACAGTTATCAACATAGTTCAACTAATTTGCCATAATTTTTTTGCATTTAGATATTCCGGCAAACATTACCAAATGATAGTAGGTCCCCGGGAGGGGCGAACCAAAGCCAAGGAGGAGTACGTCTTTTTCTACAGGTAAATGCCTGGGACAGCGACCATAAATTCTTTCTGTTTCCAATACCTAACTATAAGGAGCAAGTGTTTTCTGATACTAAAGAAACCAACAGAGATATTGTAAACAGCTCACAATCGGTAGTTTATCCAGGTGGCGGACGACCACCAGTTTGCCCCGTGTTCATGCTCAACATGCTACACCACTACGAAACTTAAAAAGCTGTGAAACTCGGTCAATTACTTACAATGTATATAAACTCAGCGCACTCCAAGGTTTGGTTCTACTGATTCATGTTCGTCATCTATGTGAAACATTGATTAGTGTTAAGCACGATCAATTTCTGTAGTGCGTGTATTCGGATGGTTCCGTCACGTGTATAAATGTATAAAAGATCAACACTGCGACATTCCCCTCTACAAATTTGGCATTCTGATCATCACAGAGCAGCTGACTCTAGTGGCATATCCAGGTTTTAAGCCCAAGTGGCTTAAACCTGGTCATAGAGGTATCCCGATACGACGCTTTTAGCGTTGATCTGCGCACTTCCGCGTTTGAAAACGAGGCTGTATGTGTCAGCTTCAAATCTAAATACGATCAGACGATTGAAAGTAAGGAGTCGAGACACAAAATACATAAATTGTGTAAAATTCAGACTTTTCAGGCTGCAAATTTTTGTGGAAGAGTCTTTCAGGATGACTCCACACGTCAAATCAAACAAAAAATAACGGCAATTTACCGCGAACTAACGTACCTGCCATGGCCGTGTATCTGCATGCGCAGTGGGCGTGGTTCAAGAGTGGCATCACACTTAAGAACCGGATACTGCATATACTGTGTCGACTCCGCGGGCACGCGCGACGGAGTTCAACACAGAGAGCCTCGGTTTCGATGCTGATATGCGCAGACAGCCCTATTGTGAAATCCCTTTATTTCTTTCTATAAAACAGGAACATTGTACATTTTTCTACAGCCTAAAAAGAGACACCACTCCTCTCCTCAGACCTGGCAGATAGCAGTATCATCTTTATTAAAATGTTGGGCTTTCAGTTGATTAAAAAGGTGAGCATGCTACCGGCGCGCCTCCCCCGAGCCCTTCTCGCGGATAATACCACAGACCTAAACGGTGCATGTACTTGTAAATACGCCAGAAGTCCAGAACTATCAATAAACGTGCGTTATACCTCGAGCATGTTGATACAGAAAATATTCCGTTGTTTTTTTGACTTCTCATTTAGTTCGTTAACTTCCCTTGTTCTTCGGGAAGAGTGCTATTAAAACATATTACATGTGAAGACCGCCTCCGGAGAATGGACGTGACTAATGCTGGAGCTACAGGCGAGGACATTATTGGAGTTCATTCAACTGAGCTGGTCTTAAGCCGGCCAAGCACATCTTTATTCCCATTCATAAATACCTTTTTTAGTCAGAGAGTCAAAAGAAGTAATATATGATAGATTTGATAGATTTCCAACGAATCTGTTCTAGAATTTAAGTTTCATTTTTTCAAACACTCCCGTCGATTTTTTAGTATATTTCTTGTGCAAGTGGCCCAGAAGAATCTCCATATATGGCCTTGGTGTGCGCGCGCTGCGTTCAACGGACCGCGTCGCACGCAGACTTTTGACCAATAGGGATGGAGTAAATTGTCTTGTATCCAGGTGCCAGTGCAGTGGGCACTATCATTATGTCAGCGGGCATTACCAAATGTTAATACATGGTCGAGTTGCACGTTGTTACAAAAGGGATTATTGTCTAAAGCGTTTATGAATGAGTCATAGAGCGTTTTCGAAACAAGTGGATTCGGCTAAGACTTCGGTTTTGCTGGTTCCCGTCAGAGCTTAGATATGTTGGTTCGAAAGCTGCTTCAACGAAGCTGGAACCAACGGAACCAAGTCTAACCCGAATCCACTCGTTTTGGAAACGCCCATAATATTATTCAAATGGTCGATGCAGAGAACATAAAAGGCAGTATCCAACTCAAGTTTGCGTCAGAGGTCCTAGAAGATTCTCCTCATGACATAGCAGCCAGCGGCAGCATTGCAGTGGAATAGTTGAAATACATGGTTGTGCCTGACGAAAAGAAGACGCATCTTTATGACTTTGTGCGAGTCCTCTGACTCTGCACTTTGAGGATATTGTAACGTCGCCGCTTTCTGTTGGTTTTGCACGTCTGAAAAAGGGCACGAACGCTTGTCCCCCGGTCCAGTGGCGTCTGGCCTTTATTCAACCTCCAACACCGGTGAACGATCACGGAGTTTTTATATAAAGTGTACAACTAAATCTGGATCTCTTTGCACATTTGCAACGATTCGAATCACATCAAACACATGTCTGTCACAACTGGCGCGAAAAACCCAGAGGTCAATGGAAAATCCCAAAAATGCTAATGCGCCGGCGCCGCAGGGGCGGGCCCGGCCAACAAACCGACCCGCAGGGCCCGGCACGGCCCATGGAGATCCACAGCGCCCCCACCGGCCGGTCGGCACCGTCGCTACAATATGGAAGATTGTATACATTTTATAACGAGGCATGTGAATCGAAATAGTAAGGCGGAGTCTTTGTCAACCGCAAGGATGCACTTCTGTCAAATGTGTCCATTTTGGATGAAGATCTTCTAACCAATTTAAGTCATTATCACAATGTCAGAATCGCTAGATAATACTGGAACAAAATCAGCAGCCAAATAATCGTCAACCGTTTGTAACTGGCTATGTTACAGTGAACTACTTTTCATCATTTTGAACGGGAAGAGAGAGTGTTACATGATGATTACCCTGAACGGGATTCCATAAAGAAGGGCATCGAATAATGTCATTCTAAAACTAAAACCTATTTATATCTTCAGCGCAAAAATTCATCTTATTGTGGCTTCCAATTGATCTCCCTTTGTATTACTTCTCACACTTGTTTCTTCCCTGAGCAGCTCCCTAACCACATTTGTTTTCAGGGCCGACTTGTTCTTGGTCAAGGACCATTATGCGTATGTCGAGAAAAAAGATGAATTCGAGCGTCAGCCGTACATTGTACGCTTCAACAGTCTTACTCCCACTTGTGAGTAGACTTTTATATCAGACGGCTAAACTTTCTTGAGTTGTGTCATTTTATTTTTAGATCCAAATTAGGCCTACCTGTTATTAACCTACAAACGCCGTAGGGAATTGTTGCTAGGTAACGAAGAGCCAATGACAGATCGAACAATGAGCTCAAATGCCATTTTGTAAGAGAAAAGAGTGATATGGGGACCATTTTAAAGTCTCTCCCTCCTATAACATCTGAAAAGTACCCAAATTCAGTCTTGCTTATCAACAAGACCATAAAAGGATATAACGAAATGCCCCAACTTATGGCCTGCAGGCCACTTTGGCCCTTAAAAGTACCCCCTCTGTTTACACACGCTGCCTTAGAGTGCCTTTCCATATGCACGTCAACATTCTTGCGCCAAGCGTTGCGTATCCGTTGAAAATTGCTCCCAGGGCGATTTTAAAGGCCGAACGCAACGCTCATGCACCGACGTGCCTTGTGGTGATGGAGTCAATTTTTGTGTCCCTGAAAGTGAAACCCATGAACGCATTGTGTACCGGTACGCAGGGCACCCATAAAAGTACATAATTATGGAAAAGCGCCTTAAGTCAACCGTGGGAGAGCGTATATGACCCCCCCCCCAAGAACTAGGCTGTCGTACGCCCAACGCTCACACTCTTGAAAACTTCATTACGTGTAGAGCATCACTACAAGTGTTGCGTGTCAGTTCAATTGACATAGGGTTTTGTTGTGGCCGATTGAATGTCACAGCCTCATGCGTGTCGGTCTTCGTGCATTGAGCACGCCAATGGAAATTGAAGCTAACTTTGGGGCCTATTTATCTCGGAAAAAAATGGCGTCTCACGAGAATGATATGTCAGTTTCAACAAATGCGTAGGGACGATATTCGAGAAAATATCAACGGTACCATGGCCCTTTAAGGCTCTTATAATGCGGTCACTTCATCCAGTTGTTTTATTTCTTTTTACCGACATAGCTCTGCCGTCCGACTTCGCCGTTGTAAACATCCACACTAAACCGGGCTACAAGTACACTCGCTACGAGATCGACGCCCTAGTGGATGTCTATGATGACGTAGTTGACAAGTGGGATTTACAGGTATGGCTTCCGATACCGCGGCTGCGGTAGGCAGTGACGCACGTGTCTGTGGCAAGTGGCTGCTGCCGCTATCTGCCTTGAGCAGAAGCACCCCCTCATCGGTTGAAAAGAGCCATGCTGGCGGAGAGTGTTCGTTTTGTCGACAGTGACGCGCACGCAAAGTGTGTTTTTCATAGTCGTTCACGAACCAGCAAATTGCAGTTCCCACCAAGGGAACCTCTGTTACTTAGAAAGCGCCCCCTCTTGGTCCCGATCAGGGCCTGTAAGCAGTGGTATCTAAGACCTCTGGCTGCTACACACAATGGATTATGTATAAAGATATGACGAAACCCATCAAGATTGATCTTTGGTAAAGGGACTTTCGTCTTCTGGTTTGTGTACGCCTGAGGAAGGGGAATGCTCAAGTGTAGCTCGAGAATAATGCCACTTTAACAATTTCCAGTTACCACTTCCAGACACTAAAGTAGTCTGTGAGCATTGGTTAGAAGCTGAGGTGCATTCCTCAATCTGAGCAGTTGCCTCTGTTTCTTGCAAGAGAAATGAATTTAAACAAAGAATTACTTCATTGCGTGCAGGATGTAATAATCACTGGAGATTACAACGCCGACTGCTCTTACGTCAGACCTTCCTATTGGCCCACCATCAGATTGCGAACACAGAGCCGTTTCCGTTGGCTGACGCCCGATGATGCCGATACCACCGTTGCTTCAAACGACTGCGCATTTGACAGGTACGGAGCTATTGAAGTGCCACCCCACTCTCTGAGCTCCTGACTTTCTTTTTCGTATCTCGACCCCAGATGCTTAATACATGTAGTCACGTGATGCCGCGTGCAGACGGTAAACTGCCCCCCCCCCGTAAAAAACTGTTCGGGGGGGGGAGACTAACCTAGGTAAAAGTTTCCCCTGGGCTAATAATTTTATTCCTTTTCATGTCATTTTGTCTCCTTCCAGTTATTTGGTAATTGTTACCCCGGTTTTGCCACGCAGAATTTGTCATTTTGATAAATTCAGCCCACAAGGAATACATTTCAGACTTTTTGACCCTTTATTGCACTTTTAATTAAATAGTCTGTGTTAATAAAGTGAAATCAATGGAGTTGTGCCCACGTGTGTATGCAAGTAGTGAATGTGCGGGACTTCCCTTAGAGAGGACCTGAATGCATGTCATGACTTCATTTTGTAGAATCCTGAGATAAAAAGGGAAAAAATAATACGTACAATTATTTCTCAGCAAAATGCCAGGCAGGCGGGCTTTCAGGTTATGAGGAGAGAATCAGCCCGATCCGATATTTTGTACAATTCAAACCGAAATGAACAAATTTCAGCCCCATTCGATCAAAGACGAGCTCGGATCGTCTCGAATCGAAGGGCACATCCTCGGGGTAACGAAGACACTAGAAGGCCAGTATGTTTCTTTGGTCAATCAACATGAACTTCCACGCATTCCTCTATTGAGGACCATAATTTTCAGACTTGAACTGTTGCCTTTGATGTTGAGCCCACTCACCGGCGAGATCACTCAGGGAAATCCCGGCCTGTTTTCAACCCCACGTCCCACTGTACTTCTGTATAATGTGTGTGGCTTTTATGTCGACTTTCTTGTGTCTGCATTTAATTACGGATGTGAAGTAAACGCAGGTCTTTAATACTAGAAATTTAGTGTCAGTCCGCAAGGATAAAAATCCATGACCTTGGTAGGCGGGGATTAAAGGCCACATTGAAGGCCTACAAGCGTAATAAGCAGACTTGATCATATGATAAGGAGGTTACCGATCTGCATTCTAAGTGAGACAATTGAAAACGAGTGTCGTTTTTTTCTTGGGGGTGCCCTTTTATAGAAGATGAGAATTCGAGGACTTTTTAGGGCCTTCTCAACTAAAAATGCAAAGTTTGGTGTCTCTTTACGCACTTTACGGAGGAAGGAAATTGAAAATCCTCAAATGGTGCTTCCTACTCAAAGAACGACAGCACTGCTTCCGCCGATTTCATTGTAGCTGTATGAAGTGCGCCACCATTTTCAAGCGTGAAACTGTCATGCAAAACACGCGTATCACGTTGAGTACCAACATTATATTTTACATCTCGTACAATTTTGATGAAATCCTGCCAAACTTAAAATTCCACTGAACTTCATACTTTGAGCGAACGCAAAATTTACTTGAATTACTCGCAATATGTTCAACTTTAACCATTCCCCGCGTCAAGACTGTCTGATCTGACCTTACAAGCCTTTACCTGGTAATTTGGTGATCGTTCTTTCTGGCCCTTCATTTCCCTGTGTGCGTTCTGCCAGCTCTAAAGCGATTTTGTTCCTTGTGTATTCATCTTCCTGCAGATTTGTGTTGGTTGGTTCTAAGATGACTGCCGCCAATCCCAGCTTCCGTGTCTTCAAGTTCGACTCCGAATACGGCTTGGACAACTCATTCGTATGTTTATACTTAGTCTGTTATACAGAACCGATGCGTGGCTGAGTCATTTTGAACTAGGATAGGCCTACTGTAGTTCAAACGAATGGAGCAATTGTGCGCAAAATCGTGTGTAAAAGGCATTACCCGCAAGAACCAGTGCGTGAACCCGTCAGTGCGCATACTCTATTTGTTGACACTCAACCCCGTTCCCATGGGTACAATCTTGCCGCGCCATGTTGGTTCCCAACATCGATCTCGACCTCCTGTTATTGTGTAATTTAAATGTCTCGCTATTTGGGATATTTGAATTAGAACTATAGTCAATGCGTTACGCCCAACGCAGATTTAGACGTAAGTGATGTACAGGAGAATTACTGGGCGCGAGTGTGTACCTTTTGAAGTACGCGTGCGATACACTTCACGTTTGTGTATCCGCCCAGAGCTGAAGTGCACCCCCATCTGCGAAAGAAAGACAGGTGGTTACAAGCGGGTTCTTGCACGCGTTCTGTGTGTACGCAAAGACCATACGTGCCGAAATGAATTAGTTACGCGTACTCAGCATGCTCCGCGTAAAACGCGCATGTACTTGCGCACCTCAAGGCGCGCCTACTGGATGCGGTGAGTACATCGATCTCCATCATATAATGGAGATCAACGGTGAGTACAAAAAACACGCCCTCTTTTGCTCCGCTATGAGCGGATATTCAACCTGAATGACCAGTCAACGTTATTTTTGAATTAGTGAAGGGAAGCATACGCAGCCCATGAAGTCGACGTTAGTTTGCACATTACTACACCTCATAAATATTCAGGAGCAAATCAGAGCGAATTCCACCTCGCGTCTGGGAAGTAGAACTGATACGCGACCAGGTGACGTCATAGCGGTGAGTATCCACCTCGCTGCCGTGTGGTAGTTTTTTTCTGGTAGCATCAAAAAATCCCTCTGGAGTCCCCCGCGTATTATGTAGTCTGTGTCATGTAATCTACGGAACCAGTCTGGAGTTGTATCCTGATAACTATTACAGTAAAGACCCAAAACGTATGTCAGCACCAGACTATGAAGCCCTGTTTCTATGCACATCTGCACTCCATTATCATTACATGGAAATTAAGCAGCTGAGAAACAACAATGGCGTCTGTGAGTACAAGTTACGTGAGATTTCTGTTTGAATATTTATGAAGTGTAGTAAAACAAATACAGCATGGTTTATTTCGGGAAAATAGTGGGAGTTAAGGGTCCCTCGGTGTAGGTCAGCTTGACTGCCTCCCGACGCGAAGCGGTAGTCAAGCTGACCTACACTGAGTATACTGAGTACCTTCTTCAGGGCAAGCACATTCAGTTCTGAATCTGCTTGCCATGAAGGTACCCAGTTGCCGAAAGCTCGGCAATTACATATTCCAGAGCACTGATTTTATATTATATTCCTGTCAATATTCTGATCACGGTGCATATTTCTCTAAGTTTTCAACATGTCGTTTCCCTTTGTTTCATATTTTCAGGCCAATGAAGTCAGCGATCATTATCCAATTGAGTTGACCTTTTGAGATCGACACGGTTCGTCATATGGAATCTAGCCTTAACGATAGTATGTTTTTGATCGGTTTTTAGAAATCTACTCCCAATACTACCTGAAAGTATACAAAGCATTATCCTGAATTATTCTAAGAGCTTGTAATGGACGATTAAACGCATAAAATAAACACTAGAATGATCCGTCGATAAAGCTTTCAAGCCCATATCATGGAAGATAATTTTGAAGCTTTTGGTGTGTTATACCACCAGTCTTTGATTTGGTTGATATCTGCATGGGTGAATGGATATCAATGAGGATGTAACTTAGCCATATTTGCCCAAAGTGCACAGAGATCTCGTTGCACAAAGCATGCAGTCAGCTGTCCACAAGATGCTTTTTATCAGTATACCCAAAGTGGAATATTTCTAATGGCTTAACTCGTCACAACAGGTGGAGATCATTTTTAGATCGAAATGACGACAGCCGTATGGAAATGTTTTGAGTCAGCTATAGTGACAGATTTGGATGTTCCTTTTTAGTGAAACATTCCTCAATCCAATTTCAAGAATAAACACATCGATGATCTTTAACTAATAACTACAACACCCTACAAACATGTGATAGAGCTTTAACTATCCGCAGTTATGCGTGCATGTCACGATGTGATACGACAGAAAACTCTCTAAATCTTAAATTAAATGCAGACCAATTGAAATTGATTGTGACTGTGGAGTACTGACTCACTCTTGTAACTTAATGGTCAAACCACACACGTTGGCGGTAATACCACACTGCAAACACTGTGGTGTTAACATCAACACTTGTTATCAGATGACCACACCATAGGGTGTCACTTTAACACCGCTAATCTTAATTTGCACATAGGCTCATAAGTTTTACAGTGCACTGAAGGGTGTCAAAAGTAACACGAAATAACACCAAAAATGTTACACCATTGAAAGGTGTTGGTGTAGTCCTCGGATAACACAGGGGGTATTGAATTTAATACCCCAAACTTTTGCCCTGCATACACTGCAAAAACTTGGGTGTTAAATTTAACACCCGCGGTGTCATCAGAAGACGACACCAATACTTTTCACTGGTGTTAAAATTTTGCTGTTATTTGGTGTTACTCGTAACACCTTTTAGTGCTCCGTAACACTTATAGGTATGCAAAGTAACATCATCAGTGTTAAGGTAACACCTTATCATCTGAAATCTGATAACACCCAAAAGTGTTGATTTTAACACCCGAGTTTTTACAGTGTAGGGTCATATACGTCTAACTTATTTGCTCTACTCAATTTTGGTAAGTGGATTTCAAATTCTGTCTGAAATAAAGTATTGGATTAAGTAAAAGATTTCACTGCAAAACAATTACTGAAGTGACAGAATGTTATTGTCCTTGAATGTTCTTAGTACTGAGGTCTAGCCGCCATCTTTGATGGTGTTAGGCCGGAATGTAAAAAACGGTTCATATTGTTTTGGGCTATGGCTATAAAATGTGACTGCTCACGGCAAAAGCTGGGCGCCGTTGCCAGCAGAAACTTCATTCGGATACGGCCTGACTTCACACATCGCTGAGCCGCAGTCAAATACTCGATTCCCCGTATGGGGTGCGATGAAGTAACAACATGGCGTCAGTGGACACCCATCTCAAAATTTCTGAATGTTTTTACACCGTCTTTGACTTTAAACGTTAATACGGAAGTTAAATTCATTTATATAATCGAGAAAGAATGGTTAAATCTAGAGAAATCAGAATATGTGTTGCTGACTGTTCAAAGTATAACCAGAACAGGCAAACATTATACAGCTGCGACGATTTTCAGTCCAGCTATTGATTTTGTCTATACTGATGTTTGCCCTCTGCGATGGTTAATACGCACCGTATTTTGCACACGAAAACGTGACCATGGCGTCAGGCGTCAGTTCACCTATGTGGCTACAATGAGTTCTCAGATAATTCAAGTTACAGATAAACTCATCAAGTCTCGAAATTGAGGATTAGTCTTTCTGCAAAGAGAACGGCAATATGGATTTGTAGTTATTTCCATAAAATGGAATGCAATTTGCCGAAATACTGTGAAAAGGAATCATCGACTGAATAGTTCATCTCTAAATTGTTAAGGTTATTCTTCTCTCAAGTACAAAGGGTGGATTTTTACTCTTGGGGAATGAAAGATTATACGGGAATGCTAAACGTAGGGACTAATTTCATAGGAGTGAGAATAAACAGGGTCCTCACAGATTTCAAGATTTCATCGTAGCAAAACGTGCAAATCACAACCAGCGAGAACAAGCCAAGTCTTCAGTGGATCAAATGGTGTGGTAGACGCCTGGTACAATCACCGGCTCTGATTTGCACACTGCCATCAGACTGTCGTGACTTTTAAAACAGTAACCTGCAAAATTGTAGGCTAACCCCTAACCTACGGCGTTGTCACGTAGGCCTACAGGCATTTTTCTTTTATATTCTGTTAAGAGGGTGAACGGTAGGAGGACCAGCGGTCAAAGGTGGATCGATAAGATGGCGGGGTGTGGGCTTTGGGGGCACCCTGAAGTGTTTGTCACACAAACCCGCACTGGTGTGTTGTTAGGTCCTTCCGTGCAGCTCGGATCCCGTTCTTTTGAAGTCACTTTACAGTGGAGTACATAATAAATCCATCAATCACATTCCCGTGACCAACATTTCAAAGTCATCCAGCGAAGATAACTTTAAATTATACCAGGACTGACAGTTTTGGTTTATGATGACAGTTTAGTGATCTGAATCAGTATACAGCATGCTGCTTTCGAATCAGTTCCGTTTACCTTCCACGCAAATTGATCGGTTGTTTTTTTTTTCCCATGACTGCGGGTGCTTGCCCGGATATTAAGCTGTCACTCAATACGTGTAATATGCATAGCAAACGGGTGTATTAATTAATAGCATATGACATTTCGTGGCCAAACTATATTAACAGAAGAAATGGAAGTAGCGGCGACTGCCAGACCATACTTCTGGATGGACCCTTTAGATTTGTTTCTAAATCAAATGCTTATTTGTTGCGTTTGTCGATTTTAAAAAACTTTTCACATGCATTCGATAAAGTGTCAGAATTCTTCACATCATCTTGGACCTAACATTTGGACATTTAGCATTCTAATACTAGCATTCTAATATATTTCTGAGATTACTGATGTCTAAATTAACTTAATATTAACTTTACGGGGCTCGTCATTTCAACTACAATGATTGCACGAATTAACAATGGCAAACGTTCATTAATAAAATAGATGGTCCTGAGTTTTGGCCAAAGTTGGCAAACTCAGAAACCTTCAATTACGCTTCATTTTTTCTCCATTACGTGATTCAAAATCAGAGTTCTTAATACAAATAGCAAGGTTTGCTCTGCAAATTGGTCAATGTGTTAACTGAGAGCTACCACGGCTGCCAATGCAAACCTTATTAGTTTGGTCGTGTACTGAATTAAGTCTAATTTAAGGCCATTATGTGGAAGTTAAAAGGGTCCAAAGTCCCTCTGATAAAATCGCACCGTTTTTTGTCATCGACAAAAATCAATTTACTTTTATCAAAATGTCAATGATTAACAAATAATGGTCTTAATGTTTATCGTTTAGCTCCTTCATCCGGTCTATTGTCGTTTGGTGTAATAATTAAGTATTTCTGTTCAGTTTAAGACATGTTGCGCAAGAAATCGGGAAATTTATAAATAGTTCTACATTTCCTCATAAATTACTGGAAAAGATGTAATGGGATATGCCCGTCAATTAAGGTTTGTTAGACGTCAAGATAACACTGATTCAAGTGGTCGCGTGCTGCTTTCATTCCATTCCATATTTTGGACTCTAAGACGTCATTCCTGCATGTGGTTGCCATTGACAGTTGGCCAATCGCGGAAATCTATCACGTCCCGCCCGCTAATATTGACAATAGTGCATCGTGTGAAATAGGGATCGAGGGTTGTCAAGTAACGGGGCTTGAACGAGCAGCTCGTGCCGTGGTCACACAGGGTCGACAACCACTTCAAACTCCACTGACCCATCCACACCTCAACCATTGACTTTGGCGCGGCCATGGCGCAGAGTCGGGAAATTTTACTGGTCGTACTTCTGTTTCAGGTGAGAAGTGTGTATTGACATACTATAGCTGCATGCGAAAACAATTCTTTTCTTGTGAATCCGAATGATATACTTCCCTTTGGCACAAAATTCCAATTGCACCACATTTCGCCAAGGGATTCCTACTCCACGAGCATAACATGCCTATACTTGGGCCTGTTTGAGCCATGACAAAAAAGACTTCAGCTCATCACCTGTGTAGCCGCTTTATACCTTCAGAGCGAAATGAAGTATAGACCGATGTATCCTTCGACTTAACCATTCGATCACTCCGTCCAAAAATGGATTGCTTCAATGAGAACTTTTATATAAGGCTACTTGATTTTATTATAGTAACATTGCAGCTGTAGCGTGAATAATTTTTTCTATAATACTGACCTTAATCACAAACTCCTGATGAAGTAATCCCAATGTCATAACTTTTGATAAACATATTTTTATTAAAAACATTTTTAAGCATTTTAATAAAATTATTAGCATTCTTGAAGTTGTATATATGTTAAGTATTTTCCGTCCATTGTTACGTTGAAATTTGCTCCATATTTTGTCATTTTTTCAGCTCATATCACCAACATACTCCACAACTGTCGTCCTCTTTCGTCCGCTAAGTTATGCAAACACAGTCCATGAATTATTAAACGGTAGCTGCTGTGACGAGCCGAGTGGTTCTTCCTGCACTGATCACTGCGATAACCGGTTTGTCATCTGCCTGGATTCTAACACGTGAGATTTCTTTGAATCCTTCCCTATAAACAACTCGAAATGTTTGTTTCAAGATGAGATTCCATGCTAAATTGGAAAACGCCACATCATAGATTTTTTGTTGTTGACAAATTAGGGAAGATTTTGGACGATAACAATGTACTCTTATGTCATTTTTCTTCCAAGACATTTCGCTGGAAGGTTTATATCCACTAACAACGCGCAGTTTGCAGCTGGACGCTTATTATTATTAAAAATGGATACTTTTTCATTATTTGCGGAGAGATCTGTTTGAAATTCTTTTAAAACCAGTTCATTTTGAAATGCATTTTGGGGTGCCTTTCAAAAACTGAAAATCCTTTAAAACTCATCTTTAAGATATTCATTTTATTTTGAAAAGCACTGTTTGAGTTTTCCATCCAACAAACTGACATGCTATCTTTGTGTAATTGAAGCAAACCCCGATTACCATGTTATTCCTTGAACGGTCGTTTGTACGACGGGGTAAATGGTGTATTTTTCCCCCACAGAACTTCTGATTCGTTTGATTCATGTGGCATCGCCGTCAAACACATCACTCAACCGACAACGGAATCTACTCCTGATGATTATAATTTTCCATATCTTCCATCGGAAAATAATACCTACAGAACCACATTGCCGTGGACGGTGAGATCAACTTTTTACGTAAAGCGTTTCCCCGACTTTCACGTTCATTTTACCAACACTAAAGTACAATCTTCTTGAGCTTTTCATCAAGCTGTAGACTAATCCAATTAGACGCCATAACTGCGGTGGCACCGCACTCACACGCACAGTCTTCAGCTTGACGCGCGCGTGCATTTGGCAAATCACAACACCCTATGGGTCAGGGAGGCATGCGTGTAACGCGCGTACCACCTGTCCAAGAGCGTTGTGCTACCGCAGTAATGGCTTCTAATTCTGGTGGTCGAATTACGCTAACGGTACGGCCTGGATCAGTGGATGTTGTTTTGCCTATTTTTTGACGCACAATAGTTCTCCAATAACAGCTGTTTAGTTGGTTTCACTTACCAATCACTGCTATGACCTCACTATCATCCGACAACAAGCTGTGTCTCGTAAAGACGAAATGTAATATCATTTCAGGGCAGTTTCCGGGTGAAGGTACAAGTATGGGACATGGATTTAGGTTCACCAGATGAGAAGGTTGCAGAATTGTTCAAATCAGTTGAACAAGAGGCTGCCCCAAGTACATCCACTCCTCCCATCAGCATCTTCAACACTGGTTTGGGAGAAAAAGCGTGAGTAACCCACATCTCATGCTCTCAACTCAAAATGAGCCGATGGAAAAATCATCATGAATGTTGATCATGCCGATGACATCAGATACTGATTGTGTTTACGTTCAATTCGCACTTCCCAATTGCATCAACAGTCTTAGGTTTATGACGACCGTGTCTTGTGAGAATGCGTTCTATGGCACCGATTGTCTAACTTTCTGCATTGCTCATGACGATGACAGTGGACACTACATCTGCAACACAACCACAGGGGTAAAGGTCTGCCTGAGTGGCTGGACAGGCCACAACTGTACTGATGACTACGACGAGTGTTCCTCAAGGCCCTGCATGAACGGGGGTTACTGCATCAATGGACGTGATGAGTACAACTGTACCTGTTTGGAAGGTTACACGGGTAGGTCATATCAAAGTAAAGCAACTTTTTCTGCAACTTTTCATTTTTCTCAAAGAATTCTTGAAAAGTCGAAGATTCCCTCGTACGTTCGTACCACCCTAACATCCTTTCTGGTTTAAACCGGGAAATTCTAATTTCACTTTGGGCCAAATAACAGATTTGAAACCTAACCTTTCATATTTCCAAACTTGAATTTCACCATTTTCTGTAAATGCCACAGGATACAATTGCGAAATAGACGTAGATGAATGTGAGGTGATGCCATGTGAAAACAACGCCACCTGCGTTGACCTCGTTAATGATTTCAACTGCACATGTATGGATGGTTTTGAGGGGTCAAACTGCGAATTTGACATTGATGAGTGCGCAAGTATCCCCTGTCAGAACAACGGCAGCTGCATTGACGAAATCAACTCATTCAAGTGCACATGTATGGATGGTTTTGAGGGGTCAAACTGCGAATTTGACATTGATGAGTGCGCAAGTATCCCTTGTCAGAACAATGGGACCTGCTTTGATGAAATCAACTCTTTCAACTGCACTTGTACGGTTGGTTTTGAAGGGGATACTTGTGAAATTGATATCGACGAATGTGCAAGTTCCCCGTGCAAAAATAACAAGACCTGCATCGATAGAATTGGCTTCTTCAACTGCAAGTGTGCGGATGGTTTTGAAGGGGTAAATTGTGAAATTGATATCGATGAGTGTGCAAACATCACTTGTCAGAACAATGGGACTTGTTTTGACGACATCAACTCCTTCAACTGCACATGTGTGGATGGTTTTGAAGGGTCAACATGTGAAATTGATATCAACGAGTGTGCAAGCATTCCTTGTCAGAACAATGGAATTTGTTTTGATGAAAT